ACTCTTCTGGTAATTACTTTAACTTATATTAAGAGAAAGTAAGGCCACACATAGCGGCTCACACCTGTAGTCCCAGCACTTTGGGAGGCTGAAGCGGCAGGATCACTTGAGGCCAGAAATTCAAGACCAGCCTGGGCAACTTTACAAGACCCCGTCTCTACAAAAGGTACAAAAATCAGACAGGTGTGGTGGTGCGCACCTATGGTTATAGCTACTCAGGAGGCTAAGCAGGGAGAATCACTTGAGGCTGCAATGAGGCATGATCACACCACTGCACTCCAGCCTGGACGACAGTGAGACCCTGTCTCAAATTAAAAATAAGTAAGAAAAAAAGGGAAAGCAAGAAAAAAAAATGAAAATGAAAAGGCAAAAAAGCCCATCAGAAGGATACTGAGTCAGCTGCCTCTAAATCCTATTTCAGATTTTAAGTTACCAAAATAAGTCATTCACTCTCAAATAACCTCTCAGAGCAAATGCCAATTGAGGTTTTTATGTTCCAGCAACTGCTGCACATATAATTGCAGACAAAATGTCAAAGCAATTCTCCAAAGGTTGTGTAAGCTATAAATGATAAGATATTTTCCAATCCTAGACTATCTCATTATGCATCTACTTTGCCATCAGCTACCTCCTCATCACAACATGCTGCTGCTTTGTTCTCTTCAGCCTTACACAGATTGCTTCTTTCAATGAAGTACTTGATATCCTGAAAGGAAGTGGCCCAGAAAAGTATAGAGTTAAAAAGCATAACTGTAACCTAAGAGTTCTAAGTCAGAAGACGGCAAATACTGAGCCAACTCAAGATTTGCTTTTTACCCAATTTTCTCTCTTTGGACCAAACTGTCTTTCAGTTAAAAACAAGTCTAATACGGCATAATGTGTTAAAGAATGTATAAAAATCAACCTAAGAGTTTAGTATTCCAACTGTCCAGTAAAACCCTATCTTACCACTTAACTCCATCTACAGCTGCTCAACTCTGAATACATGCTCTAAGACAGGTGCAGTAGAACTTGCCAGTAGTCCCAGTTACTCTAGAGGCTGGGGCTGGAGGATCTCCTGAGCCCAGTTCAAGGCTTCCCTGTGCTACCATTTCATCTGTGAACAGCCACTGCACTCCAGCCTGGGCAACATAGTGAAACTCTGTGTCTTAAAACAAACAAAAATATGCTCTAGTCACACTTGTCTAAAGCCAGATTAACAGTATGACTAAAAGCCCCTCATTATCATACCCTCTATAAATTCTCACATAATGATGCTACAAAGGTCATGAACTAGTTGTTTCTTAAGCTTTAGAAACTATGACAGTTGAAGCAACACAAAAATACTAATCTACAGCAGGCTGCTTATACCTTCAATTCCTGCCGAAAACCTACCTTGACTTAAATAAAGTCAGTGTCACATCAAGAACTGATTCTGATAAAGTTAATATTTTCCAAGATCTAGTGTCCTGCCTGTGGTACTACTCTAGGAAGTAATGCACCATACAAAGCTACAGTACAATCAACATAATCACCAATATATAACACCTAGTCATTAAATGTGTGCGTTACTCACAACTTCCACTAAGTTTAATGAAGATTTACAATATACCGCCAAGAACATACCAACACACACCTTTAAGTCAGTAAAATATCACACAAACTTCTGTGATACATGCAATCAAAAGGTAGGTATGAAAAGAAAATTAAAGTATCAAGTCCTATTAAAAACATAACTGTAAATATAAATTGAGAACTGGGAATACTACTTCAAAGGCAGCTGTTACCCAACCACATATTTGTTCTCCTCTGTGAAACCACTAATAGCCTCATAAAGAAATATGCCTATCTGCCAACCATACAGTACACTTGTTTAGAAACCATCCTCAAAGTGCTTCCACTTGTAGAACTTCCCAAAGGAGCAATTTCCCCCCCAATATAAAATATGCTTTAAGAACTCTTTCGTTAAATGGGTTCTAAATACCAGTATGGGAAATTTAAAAATGAAGAATGTTTATTAAATACATACCACTTAAAATGTTCCAGGTTTCAGTTTTCAGTTGTCATCATCATGAGAAACTCTTCATATACATATTTCAATAATTTCATTCAATAATATGAAAAAGCCTGTGTTGTCTGTCCTAAATTAACTACCTACAACCATTTTTTAAACAGCTCAGTACTCTTATACACTTAGAACCTGTCTCTTCTCCATGGC